ATCTAAATAAGGAATAAGTGTATTATAAATATGTGTAAATACAGACAGTGGAGTTAGTAATACAGACTGACTAACAAATGACAGACCCGACCTCTCGTCAGAGAGGGCGCTACACGTAGACAGGACAGTAACTTTCACTCAAAGAAATATCTGGTCATAAGCCCCAGCTGGGGCTCGACACCAAGTAAGACAGACTGACTGACCGTCAGTTGCAACGTGACTCAGACTCAGAATCTGATTGATTAGCGCGCGCGTGATGGTGAAAAGTGATGTGAAGAGCGAGCGTTGCAGAAATGCATGATAATGTTGGATGTTCCCACAATTACAAGAATCAGTAGTTCTCTACAGGCTCACTTTGTTCACAGCTCCAGAAGCTCCAGTGAACTTGGAGGCTATAGAAACGTCTTCACATTCCATGAGCTTAACATGGGAACACCCTAACATTACAAATGGCATAATAAGGAGGTTTGAAGTACAGGTGAAACTAGTTTCATCCAAGTTACGGAAGCAGGAAGGAGAAACAAAATTTCCTGAGTATCGGCTAGAAGGGAATAATATGAGAATATCTAAGGTTTACTCATATAAAGTAAGTGAATTTTGGAATTTAAATTTTCTGGAAGGAGTCATTTATATTTGATACTGCTTTATATACTTGCTGTTTTGTACATGTATCTGCTTAGAGATGCAACAAGATGTAATTTGAAAAACTGTAGTAAGAGAAATCTGTTTATGCAAGCTAGCATGCATATATTACTTGCAAAATGGAAAGTTTGTGTCATATTTGGTTAGGGATAAATGGCAAATTATTCTGTTTTACATTTTAACCCTCTTTCTATACATGATCTTCAACAGTTCAGGACTCGTGCATTGCAGCTTGAAACTCTTAGATGAATTCAGGAATTTGTTCACTCTTCAACCTGTTAGCCTAAGAGGTTTCCCGGCATTTCCAATATTCTTATTTGTGGGCTGGTGAAGTATGATCATGTTTAGTAAGCGCTACACAATGTCAAATTTCAGAAGGATGTAACCTTCTAATTCACCGCCATAAGAACCTCAAGTCAAAACAGTTTAGTTTAGTTTAGTTTTAATTTAGTTGCAGTGAAATAAATGTGAGCGAATATAATTTGTAGCTAGTCAATGATACAGTAGCATTAATTAACTTATTTCAGGTGGAACATTTATGGCCATCATCACAATATGAGGTGTCTGTTCGTGGGGTAACTCTTGAGCCTGGTATTACTGCTGTTTTGACTGTGAATACATCATCAGTTGTACCTAATGTTGGTTCACAACTTAAGCTTGTGCATAATCTTATAACCAATACCACTCTTCAGGTTGTCATTCCATCTGCAGATCGGTTTCTTACTGCAAGCAGGTGAGTGATCTTGTGTAAAGAAATACCTGGGCTACCAAATATTCAGTAACCCATATTTTGCCTTCAGTGTCACTTTGACCTTTATATTGAGTCTCAGTCTTTTTATTTCATTTTATTAGTTAAAGATTAGAAAGAATTCCTCAGTGTCTAATGGAACTAATATGAAGGATTTTAAATTATCATGCCAGTTGTTATGAGGATTTTGTATCTATTCGAATGTAATGCCATGTAGTCCTTTGAATGTCAACATACATTTCAGAGGAACATGTTGCCTCCATCTTCAGGGCCAAAGAATAAGCCAAGGAAGAAACCAGGTTACTATCTGCTTCATGTTGGTTTCTTCCTTGGCTTATGCTTCTACTCTGAAGTTTGAGGCGACTGAAACTACAGTTGACTTCCACTGGACTACATGGCATTATATACCAAAAGATAAAAATCTGAGTAATATGAGTCTCATGTTACTGTCACGTGAAAATCGAGAAGAAATATTCAAGATATTTATTCTAGACAGACACAGAACTTATCATTTCATGCCTTAATTCCATTGAGGTCGTCCTTTTTATTATTGTTGTTTCCAGTTACTTAAATTCCAACATACATTCCTCCCTTTGAGGGCTTATTGGCACCTGATAATATATCTGAACACTGGCTAGTGGCAACTTTTCTTTGATAGGTGGTAGCACAATAATGCATGGGTGTAGTTGAATGTCTCATGTACACTTGATAAATATTTTCAGTAAAGTTAGTCTATTTTTACACTCCTCTCACACATCCAGATTTGTACAGCTTCACAAAATGAGTCATGTCATAACATTAACAGATTTGTTCAATAACAGGTGTACAGCTAATTTATGTTAATCTTCACATGTTGTTTATTGTGACCAGTCAGCTGTGAGCACTCTTTGTGTCTGTAGTGCCAAGCTGTAGCGAGTTACATTATATCTGTATTTTGGGCAAGACAGTGCACCAGCAAACATCACAGAAAATTCAGTGCATACTCCATGGGCTGCTTTTATTGAAAGAATAATTAGTAAGGGACTAAGGCTACTGGGTGGTGAGGGTCTAAACATGTGCAGTTTTTTCTGTAGAAATATTTGAAATAGAAAGTCACAGAAGTAATCAGCACTTTAGAAAGTGTCATAGAAAATCTTACATTGATGTGAAACGTGCTTGGATGTTGGTAGGTACTGTTTTTATTGGCTATTTTAGTGTAAGATAAGTAAAGTTGCTTTACTGAATGTTATGCTTTCTAAGCATAGATGGGACCTCCCGTTTTGCCCATGGTATCCTATTAAAATCTTATTAGAAAGAAGCTATGCAGCAGCTAGCAATCCATTCAAAGAACCGGCACTAACACGGCCACAAATGAGACAATGAACCTCTTTGTATCTCTGTCTTATTGTGACCTGTCCATATTCTGATTTTGTTTAAGTTTCATTTATGTAGTCTGTTAAGAACACACACAAACTACTTAACACCAGCTTACCATGCCAGAGGCATATAATAACAATTATATGCATATAAAATTAAATTTTATAAGAGCTATGTGAGAAGAATTTAGTTTGATGAAAGAAAACTGTTTGGATTAATTTAGAAACACAGTAGCTTTAATTGGCCAAAATGAAGTAAGAAGAAAAAGAAGGCGTGCAAAAAATTATGTAAAAGAATATGCTTCTCTCCTGAATACTTGAGGCTGATAAGTGAAATCAGTCTTAAACAGCTCAAATGTATGATTTTACACTACCTTTCTGGTTGCTCAGCCCACCAGCAAAAATCCAGTCTCATGATACAGTACCAGTATTTTGGAAAAACTTTCATGTGTTTTGGCACCCTTGTATTAAAATTGACATAGAAGGTAGAATTTTATAGGCCAGTAATAAACGCAGTTTTTAATAAAGGCTTTCATTGATGAACATAAACTGGTTTAGAGGTAATCCTCTAGGCTTGCATTTGGGGATTTATCAGTTCAACTCTCAGCTAGAACACTTTCTATCCTGAGTTTTTTTTCCATGTTTTTTCGCAGTCTGTGCAGGAAAATGCCATGAGAGTATGTCAATTAGGTCATGATTGCTTCCTTCCAAATCCTTTCAAGTTCTCCACTCACACTCATCAGTTCATCTCATGCTATATGTTCTGAGTACTGAAAGAGTCATTAGACAACATTCCCAAAAGAGCCACACTATGACTCTTCCTGTTTGTGCTGTTTTTGTTTCAGTTCTTACTTTGTGATTGTAATGTCTGACCGGGAAGAAGTAGTTGAAAATGACTCTGTATATTTACTGAAACCAAAGATACTGAGTGAACATATTCTGAGGGAAGCAAAGGTTGAAAATGATGGACATTCTTGGATTGCTGCAGAAATAAAGGTCAGGCATAACACAGCACCTGCACCAGCATTCATTACCAGTATTGGTACCATATCTTCCATGATAATAACCATTCCATTTGTTGTGGGGAAAATACTGCTACAAATATGAATGCTAAGTTAGTTTAAGTTAACTTATTAAGCACTGGTTGATTATGCTTGTTTGCTGTGTTCACATTTGTGAGTAAACATTGGAAATAGATCTGTTTTAAGTACTGTAAATTATAATGTTATCCCACATGGGATATACTGCTCAGGTTTCCATCTTTGATATTTCATAATCTGACAGACAGAACCACAAATCACAATTAAAAAGTTGAACAACCATAGTAAGTGTACATAAGTGAACAAAAATGAATAAAAACAAAACCAACAAATAAAATTATATATTTCAGCCTGAAGATGAAGAAAGACATTTCACAGTTGGTGATAACTCAACTAGTGGCTTAGGTGATGGCTACTGGAACCGACCTCTGACACCTGGAGTGCAGTACCAGGTGACTCTAGTAGCAGTCAATGGTCAGGATGGTGAATACAAATATAGTTTTGTAAGACTAGAACATCCTGTACAGGCTCTGTCTGAACCCAAACCTGGAGATGGAAGTAGAAGTGAAGCTGGTTGGGCCGCACTGCTGCTGTTACTGTTATTGCCAGGAATTGTATACTTCATTATACGGTAAGTGTTGTACAAATGTAAACTTAAGCATGTATACCAAGACCCACAAACATGATGGTTGTGATGGTTCAGTCGGTCAGGCTACAAATTTAATTCTTGTAAAACAATATACATTTTCTCTTCACCACCACGTCCAAAATGATTCTGAGTGGAGTAAAGTGACAGAGTGTGAAACTGAGTATATGTATGATGGTCTGGTGGGAACTAAACTTTGCCATGTAAAATTTGTAACTGGAATGAATGAAGACCTATATCAATAATTAGCAGAGCAGCATCATTGTAGAAAAATGTGAACTGGGTGCCATAGTCAAGATGATAATCTTGTCTGAAGAGATGCATTAGAAGAATGACTGATAAATGTTGTTGTTTATAGCAGATTCACTCAGTACTGTAGGTATTATGTTGGGAGAATATTGCCAACATAGTAATGGCAGATGAGAGACATTTTTATGGAGTATACAAGAAAGGAGCAGAAGAGACAGAATAAGAAAAAAAAGTAAAGAGAATTTACTTAGCAAGATAAATTAGTAAAAAAAAGTAAAGCTATCCCTGTAACAGGCCGTGAGGACCCATAGGGTTGTGAGACGTTGAGGGCCGCATATTATCTAGACCAGGATTTCCCAACCTTTTGAATGCCGTGGACCCCCTGTACCAAATGTTAATTGACCACAGCCCCCATAAAACCCAAATTGGAAATTTTTTATATTTTACATATCATGAAAGTGAAGCAGTAACTTACAATTTTACAACACTAAATGTGTCATTTATGACAATAAAATACTGTTATAAATGGAGCTTATTCAGAAGATCACGAACATGTCAATTAGGCCTAGTATTATGAATTTAACACTCACCTAATCAACGATCCACACTTTAACCACCGATCCATATATAAATAAGATCGTGAACAAACTGAAAATCAGAAGTTTCGTTGTGAACTAAATTATTTGAACAAGAGCAGAAAAGCTGAATATTAAACCGAGAAAAACACACTTGTATAATATTATAAAAATTCCCTGCACAAAAACTAAAGACACACAGGTTGTTCACTCTGCCACTGAAATGAATAAGAAACGTGGTCAATGGTCCCAGCTTCGTTCCCAACCAAAGAGGGATGGATTTTGTGGGGAGGGGGAGAATGGTCAGACAGCAGGTAAGCAGGACAACAGTCCACCCTGAAACACGGGTCCGAGATGCAATGGGCCGACCAAAAGAAAATGTCCTTGGAAAAAGCTACACAAATCGTTGGTTATTCACCTATGCTTTACAAAGGGAAGGTACCGTTACGGTACCAACAGTCCCGTTAAATTTTACTTCAACCATGGGACTCAAGAGCCAGAGATATACAGTGCAAATATCCCAGGTGTGAGGAACATGATAAGATAAATTTAAATGAAAATAAACTATCCTGTGGACCCCTTTTGAATAACTCGCGGACCCCCGGGGGTCCGCGGATCACACTTTGGGAACCACTGATCTAGATAATCGGCTCAAAGATGGCGGTTAGGCTGTCAGCCTTATGTGCCGGCAATGCTTTAATCCCCAGGAAAATTATTTAATTAATTCCTGGTACTCATTTCAGTTAGAGGCCGAGTCGACCCCAGGGCCATAGTGCAGCGGGAAGGATGAAAAAATCCAGTGAGCTCTTTGGGACTTGAACCCTGCACCTTCTAGCTTGTAGCATAGTACCTCAACGAACTACGCTACCACGTGCCCCAAGATAAATTAATACATAACAATAGGATTTTATGGTCAAGTTTTAAGAATAAATAAAAACGAACTCTGTTCAGAACATCTTTGAGAGTATGTAAAAAACTGAAGACAAGAATTTTTGTGCTCACCGAGGTCTTGTAGGACATCATTTATAGGCTGTACAATTTAATACCAAAGTATGCAGAATCATCAACATGTTTATATCCCTAAATAATGTTGATGCTGATAATGATGATATACAATCAAAGATATTTTACACAGAGAACATAATTCCAAAGAAAGTTTTGGAGATGAGACTAAAAGGAAGATTCTCAAAAGGATCTCCGATATAAAGACAGAAAGAACAGGTTAGGAAATACGTAATGCAGAAGAAGATGAAGAGCAGTGAAGAAAATTTAAGAGGAGGAGATTTGAAAAGACAGAGATGGATGGAGAGTCTTACATGCTAGACAATCCCACATAGTAGGAAACATCAGTAGAATGAAGAAAGTTAATATTACTCCCACTGAAATAGATCCTGTACTCTTTCTGAATTTCCATCTTCAGCACTGTGTGTAGCTGTATCTACATGCTAACAGTAACTGGTATTTTGTAGTTAACCTAGTGTGATGCTTTACCTGCACATATATATGACCTCGATATCACCAACAGTTCCTAAAGTCCTGTGCTTGCTGTTCCCATCGTGACTTTTCTCTCATGATTGCTGGACCCTGACGATTATTGCCAATCAAGATTACAGTCTTGTTGAATGTGACACTGTGTAGCCTGGAAGATAGGTTACAACAATTGAGAGGAATCTATATTTGCAGGGAATGAGGCAGCAGGTTCCTCTGAAACATTTTTACCTATCTACCAAACTATGTGGCGTCACATTCAATAAAATCTTAATATTTACTGCCGCAAGAATGTCAGATCTCACTACTGCCAATTATTTACCCATGCATGCCTGGATCACCGTGACCGAGTGTTCCCCTACAATTTTAACTTCAAATTGATTGACATAATTATATATATTTGGTTTTCTTGGATGTAATCCTCTTCTTCATGCACTTGTGATAGCGCATGTGCACACACTCTTCTATTTCTTGCATCATTTATTTCATTTTAATTTTATATGAAATATCTTTCAAGTGACAAACATCCTCATTTATTTTTCATTTTGTGCATCCTGTTGTGTTATTATATACAATTTCTTTGTTAGAATAGACTTGAAAGGATTCTGATGGTGGTGTATACTGTACAGGACTAATAGGCTTATTTTGGGCTCTATCCATCATCTGGTATATATAAGACAGAGAACCACAACGTTTCGGAGACTGGATCTGTCTCCGTCCTCAGGTGGATGGGGCAGGATAGACCTATTCAGTTGGGCCAGTTAGAAAGAGCTAGTCTCAATCACTGGACACTTTGTTAGAGTCTGTCACAACACAACAATATAAAGGTCAAGGCTAAAATTAGCTTGGCTACATGTTTCGGCTATTAAAGCCATCATCAGGCAAACACATGACTACCATATTCACATACCACTGAGCTGCAATTACGATGGTAAAAGCTGGACACTTGATAATACATTATAAAATACAAGTACAATGAAGTACAAACTTATTAAAACGAAAGTTATGACATAAAATAAAGTTAAAACTCTTATGTGATATTCTATATCACCAAGTGAGTTTGTTGCAATTTCGTTATATTCCCGCAGACATAATGGTATATTCAGACTTGTATACATGTAATAAACTGCTTGGAGGCCCGTGGTATGGATGTAATATAGTTTTGATGTTAATTGTTTAGCCGGTGCCTCATCTTACAATCTATTTGTCCTTTCTGTAGGGAATATAGATTGCAATATAGATATTGTTGTGTTGTGATTGACTCTAATAAAGAAGTTGTATCCTCATTTAAATGTATTCAGATTTCAGCAGTTACTGATACAGGGATTGACTAAATGTGTCAGAAATACAATATATTGATGTAAGTAATTATTTAGCTGAAAAGGAGCATGTCCATTTTGAGACACAGGACATGTTCTCCTTTTAATTAACTGGTTCAGTTATTTACCAGTTCTCTTTGTTTCCTGGAGTAAAAACTACTGGTCTTGGAACTGTTCATCAAATTTTTCACCTTGCAATGTAACTATTCTACAGTTTTCTTAAGTTTATTCACATTTTAGTTCTTCCTGAATTTGATGAAAGGAAGCTATTTTTATAAAGTTATGGGTGATACCATTTCATATATATCACCTCTCCCACTCCTAGCAGTATATTGGATTTGAGGCTGTTACAGCACTGAATGTGAAGAGTAGTATCTTTGGGAATGTGATAAATTTTAATTTGGTAGTGATAATAAATTATCTTATTTATTTACTTACAGAAGAAAGCAGATGAAGAAAAAAGGTGATACACTGGAATTGAAAGCAAATGATGTGCTGTATGGTGAGTCATTATCATGTGAACTGTTTTTTATATTTAAGAGATTGGTTGTAAGATTTACAGTTTAGGAAATAATTGATACTTACATTTCAGAGACCAGAATTTATTTACAATATTTTAGAAAACAATATATTTCTATTCTTAAATATGAAAGAACTTTACATTTTGAATTCAACTAAATTGTCATTTCATATTTTGAAAATTTTGGAGTAAAAGACAATTATTATAATTTTATTTTTGATGACAATCTTTATTCATTAAATACACAGTAAAGAACACCAGTTCTCATACAAATATTTTATTGTAGGAAGTATTTACAGTGATCTAAATACATATTTTGTAATAGGAAACCAGGGTGGTTCTACAGAAAATATAACAGGACTAGACCTAGAAACAGAAGGAATTCTTGTAAAACCAAAGCTTGCACCATCTCAAAGATTCAGCCGCAGGGTAGCAATTGGGGAGCTAGAGAAGTATGTGAAAGAAGGTTTAACATCTGGTGAACTGCAGCGTCAACATGCTGTGAGTATCTTTCAACATTGCACTGGAATGGAAAAGCAAAGGAATGGCAGAAATTAGAATCTTGAATGAATGAATGAATGAGGGGTAGGCTTTCTCGGCCCTTGCACTGTGACCTACAGTGGTCTATTGTGCTTCAAATTAGGGTCTTACTGCTTTCCCTTCTAGGATAATTCAACTCTGTTATTTCTTACCTCCTATGTTGAGCATGATAGGAAATGTTGTATATTTAAAAATTGTTTGTGTATATTCATTACTGCTGCTTTGAGAGTCATTTTACTTGTATAAAGAAATTACTATGTTTGAAATATGCATACACGGTTGGTTGGTTTCCAATGGCTGCATTTGGGATCATTTAACCCATTTTGCTTCTTGCTTCCCAGTAGATAGCACTCAAGTTCTTGCTTTGTTGCATCTTGAAGAAGTTTGCACTTTTCTTATGGGAAGCTTTGCCAGGTTTGTTACTCATTTTGCACTACCCAGGGGACATGTGTGACTTAAAGAATGTCTTGGATGCGAGCAACTTTGTCCCCCTATGCATACACAGTTGCAGTCCAGAATTAGTCCTACAGTTGACATTTTAAGAAAAACCTAATTTTCAAATGTTCGTAAACACATGCAGGATAATACACAATACATAATAAGAAACTGCTGCTTTAGATAGTGCATGAAATATTGCTGGGATAATTAAAATGCTTAGATTATGATGGGCTAACAGTGGGGTTTGGACAGACAAATCAAGAATTGCATAGAAAACTTTGATCAGGAAATTGATTAGAAATTGGCCACTTGGGGAAACAAAAAGAATACTGGAAGATAATGTTCAATTCATCTGTATGGAATTATTTTTTGGATGTCAAACTGAAACGAATTGACCCAAAATAATATTTAATTCTTGGTTTGGATGGAAACTATGTTGAATTTTTAGTTTCTCTTGTTATGAGAGAGTGAATTTGTCAGTGTTCAGCAAATAGTTTGAGCAATTCGTTACATATTCGAAATCAACCATGGAGGTTCGTTGGGGTTTACATGGTAAAATAAGAAATATGTGCAGCATTTTATTGGATAACCTCATCGAAAGACAACACTGAAAACAAGAGAACAACAGAAGACCCAAATTGAATTTATCGTCATCAGCATGATACACTAAGTTCTTGACCACTCAGTGTTACAAGGATAGAAACCATTTCATGTGAAAACAGCACAGCAGCCACGAGCAAGCCCTGGGAGATATAAAGAACCTCCACATCAAGATAGACTGGTGGCACAATATCTGCCCCATACAAGAGGGACGATGGGAGGATGAACACGAGCCTGCATGGTTTATGAATTTTAATTATTGACAATGCAAAAATTTTTAATTAGCATCAAGAAATTTTAAATAATTTTAATTCCCAGGAAACAGCTGTGTTTGTGAGATGTTCTATTTTGTGTACTATGCATTGTAACATATAAGTGTACGTACTTTACATCTAAACAACTTATGTGAAGGCGGTTTCCTATTTGTAATGATGTTTGCCCTCTGAAGATGGTCCGCAGAGACCGAAACATGTAAGGGTGTTAAGTTTTTCATGTAGTAATAAACTTACAGGTCACATTGGACGGAGTGATTCATATTTGTCATTCCATGTTTTTATTAGAATTCCTGGCATCTTCTGCCCTTCAGTTAATATTCATGGAACAGCTTTATAATTTCGTTTTTAGAATCTTAAGAGAGTAAGACATGAAGGTGAGTGGATTAAACTGACTGAAGACTGGGTACGGTGACAGATTCTGTGGTAATGTATTTTGTATAAGATTTTCTTGTAACATCAATCTTGCTTCTGTTATTTATAACAATTATTATAGCAACCTCTGTTCTAAACTAATATTCCATATTGCTGTTCCAGTAAGCCAGTAGAATGTTTTAAGTCCTTTCAGTATTTCATTTTTATATCTTTCTGAACTCTCAAATGATTTCTTTTAATGTAGAATTTCAGGTTTTCATAGCAGTGGTTGTGAAGGATTCTATTAATATTAATGTGATACAGCTGTAAGAAATGCAACTTTATTAATTATTGAAAATAATGACTTCTACAAAACTAAACTTTTTGCAGTTTTGTGGATTTTGTGTAATATTGTGTATATATGTGTATCCACCAGATGATGGTCATTTAGCAACCAAGACATATTGGAACTGACTACCTCTGTTGGAGTCAAGCTGCTATGACACTATTCAGGGATCATTTATAACTAATTAGGTCCAGAGAGACAAGCTTTTGAAGTGAACTTATACATGCTACATTGTAATTTTATCTTACTGTATTGTATAGTTAGATTATAATGTTGAACAACATTAATTTATGTAGGATTTAAGTTTCTCACACTGGTGGTTATGAAGAGTTCTGTCTTCTGGATAATAATGGTGTGTAGTCCATTGAAACTTTACTGACATTTCGGAGGAATATATCACTTCCATCTTCAGTGTGATAGTTTCTTGCTTGGCTTATTTTTTGACCCCGAAGATTGAGATGATGTATTCTTCTGAAACATTGGTTTACTTTCAGCAGACTACACGGCATTGTATCCCAGAGGACAGAATTTTTCAACATTAATTTAGATGGCAGTAAACCACAGAGCAAGAAATTTTTTAAACTATTTTAAATGGCATAATATAAGTTTGGAAACAAATTTTCTGGTTCTTTCCTTGGAAGAAAATTTCTGATTGCATCCATGTTTGTGCTTTCCCCATCTTATTTCCTTGGATATTTTGAAATATACTTACAAATGAACAGAAAATTGGAGGGAATGTAAATTATAGTTTTTCATTTCCACTAAGAGGTTGAGGTAATCTTCAAACCTGCATACTTTTATAGCTGGATCAAATATTGCAAGATATTGTCTGTGTCAAGCTGATTGAAATGTATGAACTATGATGATGAATGAATACAAATACCGAATGAATTATTAGGAAGAAAGCAGTCTTCTGGGATTTGGCACCGTGTATATGTGGTGTTAACCGACGTTTCGGAGGAACGTATCGCCTCCATCTTCAGGGTAGAAAAAAAAAATATAAGAAATCTCTTCGCTTGCAGATTTCTTATATTTTTTCTTCTACCCTGAAGATGGAGGCGATACGTTCCTCCGAAACGTCGGTTAACACCACATATACACGGTGCCAAATTCCAGAAGACTGCTTTCTTCATAGTCACCGCCGTGAAAGCCTCAAATCTTACAATTATTAGGAAGTTCGCAATAACTGTTAATCTGTAATAACATCTGGTATGAGACAGTATCTAAAGCAAAATAAATTGTCACATTTTAAAAATGCACTTAAAATTTTCAGCTCTTTCCAAGGGGACAGACTCGGCCTTGGGATTATGGTCGACTTCCTCAGAACAAAGCAAAAAATCGATATGGTAATCTTGTGGCATGTAAGTTATTTGTACATCTGTTGAGTTTGATATAATATAACTTTGCTGTCCTATACATTCTGTAAAATGAGCTATAGAAACTCTAGATATAAATTGAGTAATGGAAATGAAGGAATGCTGGAAAGAGTGAGGAATCAGAGAAAAAGAATATGAACTACTATAATTAGAGTAAAGTAAAAATAATATTTAAATACAATTTATGTCTTTAAAGTTGAGAAAGAAAAGAAAAGAAAAGAAACAAAGGCAAACGTTCAGAAAAAAATCCCTGTGGAAGATGCCACTTTCATGACCAAATGACAAATGAGAGAATGATGAAATATTGTATTACAATGTCATGTTTTACTTTCAGCTGATTGAATGTGTGTACAGCCCACACAATAACTTTCTGTTCTAGCAACGTGTTTTGACCACAGTGGCTATCTTCAAGCTATGATTCTGTCACATGTAGGATGGTATGCATGACAAAAATAAGAGGTTTTAATTTGGATGATCAAATATATTAATACTTCAGTTACAAGTTCTCTTAATTACACTTAAATACAGTGCTATCACTGATTTGCACACTTTCCAGTCCACCATTGCACACATACAAGGATTCTCAGTTTCCACTAGCCGTCTCCTAGCAACGGATTTCATCACAGAAACTAGGTCTTCAAATCACTCCAGATATCACTGCACTACAACACATCTAAAGTCTTCCAGTAACACTTCACAGCTGAATTCTCACAACTCCTCTCCTTGACTCACTGGTTCTTGGCTGTGAGTAGCTACGACTAACTGTAGACAACTTTCACTGTCACCTATAAACCTTCAGCATGGACCCCATAGAGAACACCGATTATTGTAGACGTGTTTACAGTTCTGTTGCTTATAAAAAGTATGCATAACCCCGTTATTTTACTGTTGCCAGGCACTGATCACATTGAAAAAAAAGTGATATGCTAACTATCTCACCAGTCCTTTGGCATGCTGATTGTTGCCTAGCAGTGAGTTATAAACATTCATTCTGTTGTTGCATGACCTTAAGTGAGAAGATGTTTATCACACCCTTGCCTAGCTATACACATCACAGTACAGGGCTATAACTGATATTGGCCAATTTCTGTACCTATATATGAAGATATTAAGTTAAAATTATTATTATTATGAAATTGTTTTGTGGGTTTTTATGCAATTAAAATTATTAAGCATGGTAGTTTTCTTCATGTCATTACTGAATTTTAATGTCTGTGAAAAGTTTCAAGTTATTTCACATTTTGTTTCCTTTCACATATGTTCACTCATTGGCTACTGCCACAGTTATGTGTGATTTTGTTTATTTATGTGCTCTGGACCTTCTAAGTCTTTTTATCAAGTTATTTTATCAGGATTATGTTGCTCGTTGTGCCCTTTTGTTAGTAATCAGAAACATTAATTTATATTTTATTTTGTATATAAAATTTGTTTTGTTATAAGTTAAAACATTTCATCTGTATACTGTTAAGGTTCTTTCAGACTCCTTACCTCATTTTCTTGGGAGCTATTGGTTGGTGGTGTTGTGAATATGCATTTAATTCAGTTACTGTATTATGGGTATGGGTGTAAATGTGTGTGTTAGTATTTGTTCTGTCATGTGAAGGTTTGATGTTGCTGCTATCTATAGGTATAATGATGATATGTAAATTCAAGTATGGGGTTCGCTTAGTGGAGGGTGGAGTCCAACTGGGTCCACTCAGCATGGCTGCCACTGATTGGCCTATTGTAGCCTGCCCTGGGTGATTATGATGATGGGAGAATTTGGTGGAATGAGGATTGGCAGGGGAAACCGAAGTACTCAGAGGAAACCCGCTCCAGCGCCACTTCGTCAACCACAAATCCCACTTGAACAGACCCGGGATCGAACCCGGGCCACTGTGGTGGGAAGCCAGCGACTAACCGCTTGAGCTATCTAAGTGTGGGGTTGCTACTGCCCATGGATGTTTAATTGATTTGTTTATTTTGTTTATAGGTGCATTATATGTAGTATTTCTCTAGGCTATAATCTTAATTTTCTTGGTTATTTTTACTATATTCATAAAACTGTTTATGTTGCTGCATGTGTGTTTTCTATTTAAAATAGTACATAGCAACTCACATAAGAATTTTGCCATAGTTATTTAGTTTCATAATCTTCTGTATAAGTCTAGAATTTAAGCTAACACAAATGTTCTATAATATTTTAACGTTTTTTTCTCTGAAGAGGTCGTTTGGATTGTTAATCGGTTTATTTAACAACCTACAACTCGTAACTACAATTAATTGTAACACAGTTGCGAGTTTACACACTTTACAAACCCTACTCACAAATCTGATCGCACTATCATCAGTAGTCTTCACAGGTTCACAGTAAAACACGGTGACTGCTAGACTTCAACTGTCTTCTATCTGGCGTCATGAAGCACACTCTGTCACTCCTGATCACACACTCTCACTCACATACTGCTCAGCCGCCTCTTTATACCATTCCCTGTTGCCTGTGCCAACAGCAGTGTCCCATGTTATGTCACAGTGGGAAGTGATGTTACAACACCGTGGGGAAGGGGGGCCGAGTGTTGACTGGCCTGTTACCATAGCAGCGACAATGCTCCGATGCTGGCAAGGGAGGGGTGTCCTGCATAGCGCAAATACGTCACACTACACCCTCCTTAAAGCTGTTCTTCCCGAATAGCCTAACGGTGCATCCACGTTCCTCTTCTTCCCGTTGTCCGTTCTCCAACTGCTACATGTGCTCCCTTCTTATGGTTGTTTGTCCCGAACAGTTCCATGGTCCAGCGTTCGTCGATCCATTGTATCACATTCACTCATCACTTTCATTCTCCATTCATGCCGGGGAGGCCAGTGTTTCTACATTACCAGTTCCTCCTCTATTCCTTCTTGTCTTTTCCATTTCGGAGGGGGTCGACCCCTCCACAGTGTCCAGTTTTTGATGTTATGTAATCTGCTGGAAATCTCTACTGCTTGTTGCCCGATACCCAGCCCTTGGGTCTTCCTGAGGGTTTGGCTGGCTGTTCTCTCATTCCCAGTATTCAGCCGCTGTCTTGTGTGTTCATCCTTCACTCCAATGTTGCCCTCCGGTTCCACCTGAAGTCTCCGCCCTCTGGGGGCTCCTCTTGCAATGCTGTTCCTAGTCTGGTTGTTTCCAACGATATGTCCCTTGCGCCATGCCACTGCTGCACGGCGGTTCATCCTTCTGGGATCGGCAACACATTTCTTCTGGCACTCATCCTGATTTTGGGTCTGTTCTTTCTTGAAGGCATCTCTCCTACATTGTGCCACTGTCGCGCGACAGGATACCTTCCTGCAGGTGGCAGCCAACTTCATCTGGGATCCACAATCTCTTTGGGTCAGTTTCTTCAGCTCCCCGCGTCGCCCTCCAATTTGCTTCTTGCCCCTATGCCGCTTCTTCCATCCTTTGATCGGTTTCAGTACGGCATCTCCTACGGGGACTTCTTGTTGGGCCGCCTCAGGTTTCCTGTCCACTGAGGTCGGCTATTTTTCTTCAAGACATTCCCTCATCACTTGGCAGGCCATCGTCTTTTTTCGGGTATCCTTTGTTTCAGGTTTAAATTCGGCCACCATCTCCTTGTGGCTGGTGTCCATCATTCGCATGGCCAGAAAAACGGCGTCTGTCTTAGCCTGTCTTTTCTCGCCAGGCTTTCGAGTCGGCCCTCATTTATTTCAGCATTTCAAGTATTAGTTGAATGTCTTGCACCTCCATTTTTTTACTCGTAAATTCAATACTTCTTCCTAGATCAAGGCATTTTTAAGTTCGTAAAGCACTTCTGACACCAAATTGTCATGTGTTTTGACTCTGCCTTTCGCCTGGTCAGCCTTTATCTCTTTCAGCATTTCGAATATTTGTTCCATTTTCGTACGGCAACACTGTAAACACACACTTAAGTCTTCAGTTAAAATTGTGGCATGTTTAGGTTTGCATTCCACTTCTGACACCAAATGTAACTTTTTTCCCCTGAAGACGCCGTTCAGATTGTTAATCTGTTTATTTAACAACCTACAAATCATAACTACAATTAATTATAACACAGTTGCTGGTTTACACACTTTACAAACCCTACTCACAAATCTGATCGCACTATCATCAGTAGTCTTCACAGGTTCACAGTAAAACACGGTGACTGCTAGACTTCAACTGTCTTCTATCTGGCGTCATGAAGCACACTCTGTCACTCCTGATCACACACTCTCGCTCACATACTGCTCAGCCGCCTCTTTATACCATTCCCCGTTGCCTGTGCCAACAGCGGTGTCCTGTGTTATGTCACAGTGGGAAGTGATGTTACATCACCGCGGCGAAGGGGGGTGGAGTGTTGACTGGCCTGTTACCATAGCAACGACAACACTCCGATGCTGGCAAGGGAGGGGTGTCCTGCATAGCGCAAATACATCACAATATCTAATATAGTAACAACAGTTTCACTGAAGCAATTGTAACAGAGCAAGAAGGTGACTGATATAGTCAAAACATATTGCTAAAGTTAAGTATTGTCTATATTTTACCACAGTTGTGTACAGAGGTTGTGTTGACAGGATTCATATGCATATTGGGCAGAGCAATATTAGGAAAAATTGATGTAGCTAATTAAGAAAGATTAAATGGATTAAGATTGAGGCAATGTAGGTTCACAGTGTGTCAAATAAGTATGCAAATCACACACCTTTCTTACTGGAGTATCTAGAAGACTTTAGTTCATGTCTTTATAGTGTTTCAGTAATGTAAACAGTGCAGTTTTATATTATACAAATTTTTCCTTAATTACAGATGATGAAACAAGGGTGAAACTGAAGAAACTACCAGAGGATCAATTTTCAGATTACATAAATGCAAATTACATAAATGTGAGTTGGTCATATCTTTAGTTTTGTGAGATATTTAACTTTTGTTCCATTTACTCCTGTCACATTAGTCTGATTGCAATGTGCCATTTATATATGTGACCCTTTGATTCATTCTTAAATGGTACTGAATATGATAAAAATGGCTTAACCTCAGTTCTCAGTGAATAAATTTTGTAATTTGAGAAGAATCAAACATATTAAATTACATTAAAAGTATACATCTTACTACCAACAGCATGCTGTAGTGTTGGAGATAACACAATTTACAGGTATATGAAATTAGAATTTCTTAGATTAAAACATAATAATTACTTTTCAGTTCTTAAATAGAATGTTTAGCTTGATTACTAATTTTTGACACACCAAACCAATGTACAATCACAGCATTTTGACCAAGTGAGTTGGCATAATGGTACTGCTTTGGAGTGTAGTTAGCAGAACTTGACTGGGATATCGCCTATCCTGACAGATTTTTTTTTTTTTGAGATTTCCTGAGTTTCTGCAGGCAAGAGCAATGATAGTACCTCAATTAAGCCATGATTGCTCACTTTAAAATCCTTTCCAATCCATCATTCATGTTTTGTTCATTCAGCTGATGCTCTATATTCTAGCTACTGAAATTATCATTAAATAACCTACACAATATATACATACATACATATATACATACATACACATACCAGTGCACCATCGCATGCATGAACGCACACATACGTGCACAAACACAGTCATGTATACACACATGTATGCATTACATTCTGTGGATTAAATATTATGGGCCTAAGTATTTTTTTTTTGGGGGGGGGGTAAACACAAGAGTCAGTAACTGAAAAGTAATGCAGTATATTCAGTGATCTTTTTTACACTGTTTGGATCATTGTTGGTATACTGATCATGCAGGATGCAAGAAATTTTATTCAAGGCTTGCAAGTGATCTAAATGGAATCAGCAGCTGCAAGAAGTAGTTTTGTAGGTAACAAGCTATAAGTCAATTATTTTATTGTGATGTGGATGGCGATGCGGGACGTGGGGATCGCGTGATCTCTGTGATCTCGCAAGTGACGTCACATACCCCCACTCCGTGCATCAGTGTGCAACAGTCGGTAGACACCCCTTTCCCCGCGGTGACATAACACGGGATGCCGCAGTTGCTACGTAGCCATAAACAACTCCCGGCAGTGCTGCCCAGCAATGCCTTTGTAAACACGGCGGGGAGTCCGTGCAACGACTGTTCCAAGGCAGTTGGTAAACACGACATTATGCAACAGTGGTGCCTATTACATAACAGTTTTCTGTGTTGTCTGTAACGAGGCTAAATAAGGAGCAGAGAACACTATTCACAGTGAGTTACGAGTTAGCCAGGAAGTCAGTCAGTCAGTGTGTGAGCAGGAGTGACACAGTGCAGATGGAACAGTAGCCAACTGGAAAGAAGAATACTGGAGCGTGTGAGTAGAAGTGATAGCCTGAGAAGCAGATGCTTTGCTCACAAGAGAAGTAATTGGGAGTGTGCAATAGAGTGATACTTGTATAGCTCCCGTATTGTACTGTGAATACGTATAGACCACTGAGGGCAGTGTGAAGAGATTTGTGTGTAGGGTTTGTAAAGTGTGTAAACCCATAACATTGTTATAATTAATTGTAGCCAAGACTTGTAGGTTGTTAAATAAACCAATTAACAATCCGAATGGCGTCTTCAGTGGCAAAACATGTTACACTGGTGTCACTGGCAAAACACGTTACAATATAATGATGCCAGTATTTATGAGAGGTAATGTTAAACTTGACTACCATGGGGAGTTCAAGTTCTAATTGTTAAAACCTGTAAATCTTGTTGTAAGTCTATATGCATCCGAAAACAAACCCTGAAACTTAATTATAGAAGTTACATAGTCACACAAAATAAATTGATTTTAAAATATTTCATTTCATATGTTATATCACAGTTGGCTTACTGTTTTTGTTTTAATGTATTAAGAGAAATGTGATATGGAAAGAATGACTATATATATACAGATCTAGACTGCATGACAGAAAAGTTGAGAATATTTGTTGTGAGTGATGTTTAATAAATTGTTTATCTCTGCTTTTCAGGTACAGTTTTCTTCTTCTTCTAAATTTGATACAGCAAATGGGATCTAAAAGTTAATGATAATAGTATATTAATATAATAATGTTCTAAAAGTCAGGCATTGCTCAAATACAGTGCATATCACACTAAATATAATTATTTGTGTGGCCCACATATTCAAGAGAATTATGCACCTACGGCTCAGTTCTATTTTGTTCTTACCAGTATTTTGGATATTGATTCTAGGGTTACAACTCTCCCAACTTCTACATTGCAACACAAGGTCCTAAACGCAACACAGTTGTAGACTTCTGGAGAATGATATGGCAAGAACATGTACAAGTTATTGCCATGCTAGCTAATATTGTGGAGAGTGGCAAGGTAAACAAAAATACTGTCTTTCATTCAGTGTCGGTGTCAGCTGAATGTAGGCACACTTACATAACTGAGCTATTGTAATTAACACTGTGTTGTCGCTGTTGATCTTCTTCTTCTTCTTCTTCGTCGTCGTCATCATCATCATCTCCATCTTCAGCGTTGTCTTCTGGCATTTATTTATTTTATTGGCTGAATGAAAATTCTCTGGCCTACAATCTTTTCTTTTTGATTCCTTGTCAGCACTTTCCTCTCTTCCTGACGTCTATCAGTATCATCCTTCCATTGACACATTACTGTTAGATTCTCTAAAAAAGGAGACTGCAGCAGACTGGACATATATAATTAAGCTATACTGACTGAAAGTTACGCAAAATATTTTGAGAAATGGTAGGGTTATTTTTAACAAGTCAGGATTGTAGGAGAAAGTGGCTCTGACCTGTTTTTAGGTACTGTCCTCGTGTTTACTGAGTTAGGACCAAGAGAAACCTTGAAATATTCCATAATAAATTTCTCTAAAGCAGGCCTGCCCAACCTGTAGCTCATGAGCAATATGTAGCCAGTGACACAGTGTTAGGTTACCTTTGGAGACATCTGAAGTGAGAAAAGTTTTCTGATCCTTTACCTAGCAATGGCATGATAGAACCCCAAAGCAATCCCACCCATTTCCTGGGAAACTATGAAAGAAAACATACTACCACTTCCACATTCCTAAATGGCCCTGTCACCTAGCAATGGAGTGATAGAACCCCAAAGTAATCCCACCCATTTCATGGGAAACTGAAAGAAAACATACCACCACTTCCACATTCCTAAGTGGCCCTGTCATAAATCCTTACTGTTAGTGGTAGTTCTCCTGGATTAAAGTCACTTAATCGACAGTTGCTGATATCTATAGTTACAGGGATGTTTTCTAGTTAACCACTTGCAGATGTGAAGGCACCAGCAGCAGATTTTTTTTGTCGGTCTTACAGTTGGTCTTGCTGTGGAATATATCACATCCAAGTTAAAATTTATGTAATTTGAAACACAGCACATAGTGGGAAACATCTTTAGCTATAAGTATTTTAGGATTATGGAACTGGGGGTCCACTTCCGCAGCTGCTAGGTATGCAGTATGTGAGTAAGTCTGACTTGTCCTCGTTCTTAGTACACCAGCATGTTCCTAAGTGAACCTGTGTGTGGCTATCTTGTGGTTTTCATGTTAGATTCAAATGTTTGCTTCTTAGTTTTTCTATAATAGCAAAAGAAAATAGCTTGCCAATTCAGTGGCAATAAATATAAATATAAATATAGAACATTTATCTATAATTTTAATGAAAAAGCACTCCTAAATATAGTAAGCTTGTTGTAGGGATACAGTGTGAAGTATCATATTTAATTTCTGTTATGAAAGTTGAGTTCATGTTTTGGTTTTACTTGGGAGAATTCAGATTTTCAGCACTGAAAATACCGAAGTCAGAATACAGATCATTATTAAATGATGAACACTTAAATGATTTAATGACATTGGCTATTACCAAATACATTCATAGCTATAATGAAGTAGGTGAAGTGATCAGCAGTGTCACATTGCATAAAATTACATAATTTTATTCAGAAGGATGATTTTCCTAAGAAAACATGACATATACTCACACTGCATTTTCTTTAACAGAACAAAGCAAACCACATGTTTTATTAGATGGATCTAATATCTGTTAATCTACCATCTTTCATGTTTCTTATACAGGGGTTTGTTCGAAAAGTAATGTCAGTGAGTCGATTAAAAAACATTTATTGGTTAGATCGGTACAACACATCAAAAGGCTTCAAAATAGGCTCCTTCTGCATCGATACATTGCTTCCAGTGAGATTTCCAGGCATCAAAGGCGTCGTGGTAGTCCTTCTCTGGAATGTCCTTTAGAGCCTTGGTGCAAGCCTCTTTGATGTCTTCAACTGTCCCAAAATGATGTCCTTTCATGGGAGTTTTCAAGCGCAGAAACAAAAAGAACTCTGGGGGAGCCACGTCAGGAATGTAAGGAGGCTGGGGAACCGTTGGCACCTTTGAATCGGTCAGGAAGCAGGTCACGAGGAAGGCGATGTGGCCTGGTGCATTGTCATGGTGAAGTTTCCAATCGTCCACGATGTCGAGCCAGATGCGATAAACCCTTCGTTTGAGTCGCTTTAGCACTTCCACGTAGAATTTGGCGTTGATGGTTGTACCATGTGGTACAAACTCGTGGTGGACGAGCCCCCTGATGTCAAAGAACACAATGAGCATGACCTTAACCTTTGACTTGCTCATTCTGGCCTTCTTGGGGCGAGGGGATGCCGAGGTGTGCCACTTGGCACTTGCCTTTTTGTTTCGGGGTCGTACTCAAACACCCAAGTCTCGTCACCTGTGATGCCATTGTCTAAAAAGTGAGGGTCACGTTCACAAAAGTCCAAAAGTTCTTGGCACGTTTCAACTCTGCGCGATTTTTGGTCGTCCATTAACACTTTGGGCACCAGCTTTGCGCACACTTTTCACATCTGCAAATTGTTCGTCACAATCTCGTGAACGGTACTTTTTGGAATGTTTAATGTCTGTGCCATTAAACGAACACTCAAACGACGGTCTGAGTTCAAAAGTTCTCTCACACGCGTCACATTTTCGTCGGTGGTGCTTGTTGATGGCCGTCCAGCGCGGGCTTCATCGCCGACCTCTTCACGGCCTTCTAAAAAGGCCTTGTGCCACCGGTAGACCTGACGTTCCGACAAACAATCATCACCGAAGGCCGTCTTTATCATTGGAAAAGTTTCCACTGCAGACTTGCCAAGTTTCACACAAAACTTGATGGCAATCCTTTGTTCCAAGGAGCGCTGCATTGCGGCTTGCATGGGAAACAAAAACGAGTTTCACGGAAAAGCCTTTCGTCACTCTCAGGAAGTTCGGAGATGACTAAGCGACTGCACGTTCATAAGTTGACTTCCCCTTCCACTGATCCCAAACGGTCTGAGCGCGCTGCGATGTATAGTCACTTCACAATAAAATCACTGACATTACTTTTCGGACAAACCCTGTAACTATCTTATGTTGTTTTTTGTTAAAGTTTTTGTGATAAAAACTGAATTAATATGTGAATCGGCTTATATTTTTTCTGTTTTCCTTAAGGTTTTACTATGTGAAAATGCATATAATATTTTTGGAAAATGTTATGAGCTTTTTATTCATGAGCCCTACATTAAATTACTGATTCATTTTTTTAACTGTGCTAAAAATAAATACACGGTAGACTAAGTTTGAAATTGAATTGTTTGCAATTTTTATATTATTATCGGTAGAGTTTACTGAATATAATATATTGAAAAATACTCAGATAAGATACATATGTATATATATAATTATAAATATACATATACATTCCATGTTTTATGTATTGAACTTCATGTTATCTACATATAGACCAAATTTTGCTGAAGTTGTCTGCATGACGAGAAAGGTTCAGCAGGCCTGATGTGAAGTACGAAGAAAGGGCGATGTTCAATACACACAGCGGTCAGTTACATTTAGATGGTAAATGATACAACATACATCAGTGTACAAACAAAATGCTATAATTGTGCAGTGTAACATGCATTGTGATTATGTTTCAGCTGAAGTGTGAGCAATACTGGCCAGAAATTGGACAAGAGGTTCTGCATGGTTGTGTATCTGTTCTGAATGTTTCAAGTCAAGTATTTGCAGATTTCACATTCAGAGTGCTAAATGTTACCTGTAAGGGAAAGACAAGAAAGGTATCATGAGCAGAAAATTATTTATGTAGATATCATATTCAATTACTTTTTTAAAACAGCTTAGATGTCTTAACTTAGTGGTTCTCAAACTTTTTACCTCTGAGCCCCCCCCCTGACAAGAGAAAATACTCTCAGGCCCCCAGCCTGTTTTTTTTTTCTATCAAAGTAGAAGTCATGGTATATTGACGTTTTATTCAGTTTATTTTGCGTTTTTCTACATACTATTTAGCAGTTTTTTACTCAAAATTGAAGTATCACAATACTATGCCTACAACAAAAATTAGTTTTAACACTTGCAATAACCAAAATATGTATTGAAATGAAACGACATTTAACTAACAAGTATTTATTTTTTTTCTGCAAAGAAAATCAAACATTTAAATATCAAAGTTCAGTATGATGGAAGGGCCTGCTTTTGAGAACAAAGTTTATCAAAACGTGCTGTAATATCAGAAATGGCCACTCTAACTTCTTTAGCAATACTTTGACATTATAGCTGCCAAAGCAGAAAAGTCGGTCTTGCATAAGTAAGTTGTTGCGAAAGGAATCAGGATCTTCAATGCTTTTTGGCTCAAAGTTGGGAATTCCTTGCCAATATGTATCCAGAACTCCAACAAAGATAATTCCTTAAATTTACTTTTTAATGAAGTATCACTAGTGAGATCGATGAGTTGTTCTTGCTCATTTACATTCAGAGATGATGGCCTAGGAGCATTTTCAAATGGATTTTTAATCCAATTAAATTTATTAAAATCATTGCAAAAGTATTTCTCGAAATGGACTTTCAACATTATGAGATGATCAAGTAGGCAGCTTTTTATGTTCATTGGAAGCACTGGATTATCAGTGTCTTCTACCATCGACACTAGAATAGGGAATATGTCTAGCGTGTCTCTTTCCGTACTGTTTCTCCAGAGCTCTAATTTTCTCATGAATGCCTTCACTTTGTCATTCCAAGAAAGTACAGTTGCCTCATTCCCTTGAAGTGAAGTGTTGAGGATATTTAGTTTCTCAAATATATCTGTGAGGTAAGCCATTTTCAATAAAAAATCCTTGTTGCTGAAACTGTCTGCCAGTGAGTGATTTCCCCCATTTAAAAAACAGAACACCACATGCCTCAGGTTAAACATTCTCTTTAATACCTTGCCTCTTGAAAGCCATCGAGCATCACTAAAAAACAACAGAGCAGTGTGTTCAGCACCCATTTCCTTACACAGCATTTTAAAAAGTCTAGACTTCAGAGGATTTCAGAGGATAAGGCTGCTGCCGAACTATCAATGCTGTCTCTAGCATAAGCATTTTATAATTGCCGGTAAAGAGAATAATTATTATTAGTTATTTTGAAATTCATGATAATTAAAGTCTGTGCTCATCAAAAGTTTTTCTATATGTATTTTTATTTGTTTTTACTTTTCTAATTGATTTAGGGCAGTTTTAATTTTTATCTATAGGAAAGTATGCTGCGCCCCCCTTTCAAGCCCCCCCCCCGGGGGTCGCGCCCCACAGTTTGATAACCACTGTCTTAACTGAATGTACAGCGAGAGTTCACATTAGGACTTAAAAATAAATCAGTGAAAACTGGTTATATTTTCATAATATACCAGACAGAATTACTTGAATCACTGTGTTGGAATTCAGGTTCTCACTGTAGTGACTAGGCGAAGTACAGTATTATCTTCTGGGCTGTGATTCTGCATAATCTAATAGAAGTTCACTAACATTTTGGAGGATCGTATTGGCTGCACTTTTAAAGTCAAAGTGCAAGCCAAGTTACCAGCAAGATATCAGCAGCAATCTGCTTGCTACCTGCATCTTGTTGGTTGCTGGTCGCTGGCTTGGCTTGGCTTGAATGAATGAATGAATGAATGAATGGATGAATGGATGTATAAGGGGTGGGACTTTCTGGCTAGGCTTACTCTTTGACCCTGAAAATGGAGGCAGTACATATTAGACTAAATGACTTCACATCCCAGAAGATAGTACTCTGTTTGAGTAAATGCTTAGGGTCATATTGCCCGTTAAATTATTCATTATTGTTAATATAAAATACTTATGAAATGACTAGGGATTTCGCCTCAAATCCATTTGTGATTAATAGTGTTATCATAGCACCCAATACTGAGAAAGTGAAAAATAGATGTTTCAAGAAGTTTTTCTAAGTAAGAATTTTTCATTAAAATGACAACAGAGAGACTACTGCTGGCAGAATTAGTACTGCATACAACCAGCAGATCAGTTGATGCACAAAGGGCCCTGGGTATATCTTTTCATAATATAAATATATATACTTCATAATCACTTACTTACTCATGGAGCTGAGCCCTTCTTGAGAAAATGCCAGTTGTATAGCTACTCAAGAAATTCCCAGCATTTTATGTAACCTTAAGGCTCATTACTGTGTTCCGAAGAGCCTTCCACTGGTCCCTAGTGAGCCAGATCAATGCAGTCCATACCATCCCATCCTATCTCTCTAAGATCCATTTTAATATTGTCCACCCACCTACATCTTGGTTTTCCCAGTGGTCGCTTTCCCTCCACTGTCTTATATTCATTCATCATCTTCGCATTCATGCTACATGCCCTGTCCATCTCATCCTCCTCCTTGACTTGATCGTTCTAATTATACTTGGAGAAGAGTACAAGTTATGAAGCTCCTCATTATGCAGTTTTCTCCAACCTCCTGTCACTTCATTTTTCTTCAGTCCAAATATTATTCTCAACACCCTGTTCTCAACCGCCATCAGTCTGTGTTCCTCCCTTAATGTCAGAGACCAAGATTTTTACCCATACAGAACCACAGACAAAATAAAATGTGGATTTATACATCCACTCCCCATACTGCATTTTACAGTAGATAAGAAATATGAATGTGGGTCTGAAAAATATGATAATGTTTATGTTTAATTCCGTGGAAGATGTATGTCATGGTAGTTAAGTGGCACATACAGTAGTTCATCTGAGAAGCATGTTTTAATACCGGTATGTTTCAACATATGATGAAATTAAACAAAAACATTTACCAAAGAAGTATTGATGCAAGGTCATTCCCAGCTACATGTGTCAGTGTAGAGTAAGTCTATCTTTGCATTAACTAATTCCACAATGTGACAAGAAATGCCATAACTGAGTTGGTATAGTGAATAAATTATGGGCTAAATGATTGAGAAATCAGGAGCAAGAGATATTTCTTGTCCACAGTGTGCAGACTGGCTGTGGGGCCCATCCACACTCCTAAGTGAATGGTACTGTGAGGCTCTCTTCATAGGGGTGACATGACTGGAGTATGAAGCAGGCCGCTCACCTCCATCTAGTGACACGCTTAAAAGAGCATGACACTATTTCTCCACTCCCCAAATTGCCTTCATGTAATGGTACTTAATGAAACATGGGGATAACTTTACCTTTATTACCTGAGTACACAGGCATATATGTGTGCTTGCATTAAGTCATTATACTAGGACACAATCTAGCGTGCGGCCCAGTATATTGTAAAGCTATCTTGGACACCAATATTTAGCACCAATATTTAGTACATATGAAATTATCTAGTCATACTAAAATAATAAAAAAAGTAAGTTCTTTACTCTGTAAGTAGCTAATTGCTGGGACAGGGACAGAGCACACTGCTTGAAGAATGAGAATGCATAATCTCAAGAGTCAGAGTTACTTTACATCTGGTGGTTTACCGCCAATCAGTTCATCTTGGTGACAAGCCCCTAAAAACTGATGACCAGTATTTTTTTTTCCAGCTGAACATTTGTGGTCATACTGCTTATGTAACATCCTCTCTGATGAAAGGATGGATCTGTCATTTACAACTGCTGCTCGCCCTTGCCAGCACAGTCATTTTTGGGTCCAAGTCATGTAGGACTCATGACCATATTTTAGTGACCCAGAATTGAGACTCCCTCAAACTGGAGGTACAGGTTCCCATATTTATCTCCCCTAGGAACAGAGTGGCCCTGTTATACCCCACACACTCTAGATTCACTTTGTTGCCTCCTATGACTCGCAGGGCTATGGTGGAGGTATCTGAACATCAAAATCATAGTTATATTATGACCGATGGTCAGTCAGCCAGTCTGTCTTGGAAAAAAGCACCCATCTGGTGCTTACAACTAGATTTTTATTACTGTCAGACGGTTTCAGGGTTGTTGATGTGGGGCACTCTCTAATAAGAGGGAGGGGTCTGCATTTATAATTGCTGCTGGCCCTCGCCAGTGCAGTCACTTTCAGGTCTGAGTCCTGTGGGACTCGCGATTCTCAGATTCGAGAATTTTCTTTTCATTGCCTCTAAGAAAATGGAAGGCTAATTGGATTGGTCATGTTTTACGCAGAAACTGCCTTCTAAAAGAAGTTAGTGAAGGAAAGATAGAGGGGCAGATAGAAGTGACAAGAAGACGAGGAAGAAGACATAAGAAGATGCTGGATGACCTTGGGGACAGAAGAGGATACTGTCATTTGAAGGAGAAACTCTAGATTGCATCAAATGGAGGAATTGTTTTGGAAGAGACTGTGGACCTCTCATCTTGACAGATTACTGATGATGATGACTATGACTTACTGGGCTATGGTGGAGGTATTCAACCCAACCTCCACATGGGAATGAGGTCTTGTAATATGAACGCCTTCTAATGTGTCATATTAGGGGTATAGTGTCTGTGTGACTATTTGATCTCATTTTGAAGAGACCATCTATTTTTGTTCTGGTGTGCATGTTTTAGATCCAACACCTTCATTTTACTTCATGGCCAGACCATGGTGTGCCACTGTACCCTCAGTCTGTGGCATCATACCTCAAGAAGCTGCTTGCAGCACCAAAAGGCTCTGGCCCAATTGTGGTACACTGCAGGTATGTTGCTTGTGAATAAGGCAACAAGTTTCAAGCAGAACATATAACACTCAATTTTTCTTTGCATAGATTTGTAGTTCTACAGATATGTTACCGTCATGTTATTTCATTTCATATTTTTGAAGCGCTTGTTATTTAATCAATAAATCAATCAATCAATTTGTTTGTTCCAAGAATCCATATTTGGCAATACAACCTCTGAATATAGAACAAGTCAGTAACTACATATTAATATAACATACATATTGTACATGAGTCAACAGTACTATAAAGCTGAACTACCTACACATTTCATACACATCAGTCATACAGTACATCATCCCACTTACAGCAGTTCAATAACCAGAAGTGAGGACAAGATGTTTGTCATTACATACACACTCACATAAGAATTAGAGGGACATAAATTGATCCACGGAATAAATGGAATGTTTCAATAGAAAGGATTTTAAGTCCCTCTCAAAAGAGTTAAAAATTTTCTTTAATTTATATGCTCAGGGACCTTATTATACAAGTTGATTCCCATATTTATCACGCATTTTTTAAAAAGAACTGTATTGCAAAGATTTACATGTAAATTTAATTTTCTTTGTGTATTGTAATTATGGATGTCCAATTCTTTTTGCCATGAAGTCTTTATATTTTTTAATAAAACATATCGCTTCAAGTATATATAGTGCAGCCAACGTTAAAATATTATAATCTTTAAAAATTTGTCTGCATGACATTTGATTATTAACCCCACATATAATTCGAAAAACCTTTCTTTGCATTTTAAAGAGTTTGTCACTTTCATTATCCCCTCCTCATACTATAATACCGCACCGCAGAGAAGACTCAAAATTTGAAAAATAGATATTTCTTATCATGTACGGGCTCATAGTTGCTTTTAATGTTTTTATCATATAAGCTACTTTGGATAGCTTAGCTCTTAAAAATCGAGCATGGGCGCCCCATTTTAAGTTTCCTGTCATGTAAATACCTAGAAATCTCAATTCTGATTAATGCAAATTTCAGTCCTTATTAAATTTGTCAGATATTACCTCAAAGGTTCAGAACATCACCAGGTTTCTATCTGTTGACTTGCAAACAATATTTCGCTCAGAACTGGCAGGTATGTTTATGGAGTCTTCATACAAAAGTTTACATTGCTATTCCAGTTGCACATTATTTATCGAAATTAAATTGAAAATTAAACAAGATTTCCTTATGGCTATCATGCTGTTATTTACTCTGCAAAAATATTGGCTTAAGTTTTATATGTCACTCAAATGGTGTGCTGCTTTATGTGAAGAGGGCTATTCAAGTCTTAATTATGAATCTTTGGCCTGTCATTTTTCTGGAAATCAAAGGCTACAAGATCAGCAATCCTAACTTTTATGGATTTCTTGAAACCTTAGAGGCAAACATTGAGATTGTACGGAAGTTTATATATACTAGTACCTGATAAGGACAAGGACATGAAAATATTTGTAGTATGTAGAAATTAAGTTGAAGGTCAGTCACCTCTAATGACATATTTAATTTTAGTGCTGGAGTAGGAAGAACTGGAACCATCATCCTTTCAGATGTTTGTCTTCGAATGGCTGCAGCAGAACGTTATGTGGATGTACTAGCATTCCAGCAACAAATTAGAGAACACCGAGCCAATATGGTGGACAATTTTGTATGTACCATATTCATAATTGTGTTCAAATGAGAAATTTCAGTCTGACAGAAACTACAGTAAAGTAAAGCATGTGAACAGAAATTTATTGACTGTACTTACCTCATCTCTTGAGAATCAGTAAAAAAAATACTTTTGTTCAAGTCATAATCTCTCACTAGATGTTTCATGTCTCACTTCAATATGCATTTCTTGTAATGAAATCTGTTTTCCTCAAAGCATCACTGAATGGCATAGTACTGCAGCACGCTACAGTAGGCAACAGCAGGATCATTTATGATCCCTGTGTATCAAAAAGTGAATTGTGGACTGTTGTACACATATGCTTTTAACTTTGGTAATCTGAAGTGTGATAGTTCCACTGTGCAGAGTATGACTTTCTTTATACTTCAAATTTCATACCATCTTAGTGATTCCATTAACCTACAAGTTACACAACTATAGTGGAGCAATTCAGTATGGTAGACTGAATCAGTTAGCTGGAAAAGGAGAATGTTTATTTGTCACCCATTGGACATGCTACCCTTTACAATTAACCAATTCTGATGTGACTTGTAATATTCTTATGTGAAATCCTTACAGAATCAATATAAGTTTGTTCATCTGGTTCTACTGGAATGTCTGGTGACTGAACCATCTAGCGTCACATGTGATGGATACTTGGAAAAGCATGTAAATGAGTTGCGACAGACAGGTGCGATGCTGCGACAATTCAAGCGTATGCATGAGCTGAGTTGGCAAGACCAAGCACTCAGTTCCACCTCTGTACAGACAAGCCACTCACAAGTGCCAGCAAATAAATCCAAGAACAGATCCCAGAAAATTGTGCCAGGTAAGAAATACCACATTTACTTGACAGGAAGATGAGTTTTATATTTTAAGACAAAACTGACAGGTCAAAATCTTTTATTATGTAAAATTATTACAACCTAGAGCAGAGCCTGCTGCCTGCTTTATGCTGGTTTCTTGCATGGCTTATTGTTTAATCCTGAAGAAATGGTTGCATTTCAGTGGACTACATTGCATTATATTCAAGAAGATAAAACTCTTCAAATTTCAACTTGTTATCACTTCGGCTGTCTGCAGTTTGTCTGAAACTTCTTTGAGAATAGTTAATATCTTCAGTAGGCAACGTCATGGAATAAAACTCCTTTGTGTCTAGCAGCATCTCTGGTATTGAGATATTGGTTCCCATTGCATACTGAAAGGCTATCTTAGACAGAATTTTATAGTTACATGTCTTTAGGATTATGTGCCAGAGTTGACAGGAAAGACTTGCAACATTTTTTTCAGGATTTTGTAATTTGGATTACATTGTAACACAATAATGGACAGAGCAAACTAGTCCAAGTGAGAATGGTTCTGGCTTATATTCTGGAAGACACCTGTTGGAGTTTCATGAGGATCACTGACTGTCCTGAATGTGAGGTTTCTTTGTGATGTTCCTCAGTCCCTCCAGGCACATTCCAGGACAGTATCACAAATTAGACCATAACCACTGCCTTCCAAATCCTTCCCAATTCTTTATTATCTCTCATCCAATCACTGGACATAATATAATCTGAGTTACTGACAATGTCACTCAGTAAATTAGAAAGAAATAAGTAGAGCAGTAAACAGTAACTTAATAAATTAATAGAGAGGAATCTCTCTCCAGGCAAATACCAGAATAGTGCCTCAAATTATGCTAAGTCTGCTACTTCCCATATCCTTTCCAATATACTGTTCACTAATCCTCTTACCTTTCCACATATTGTATAATATGGGCTACTGGCAGTGGCCTCCGTAGTCTAGGGGTAACGTTCCCACCTCATGACTCAAGGTACGTGGGTTCAAACCTGGCAGAGGTCATGGAATTTTTAAGGGCGGAAAAATTCAGGAAACAAGTCCTCTGGGAGGGACTTTAAGCCGTGGGTCCCGTGTCGTAGCTTTACGGCACGTAAAAGAACCTCATGCATCAAGGAGGTCTCTGAGCCAAATTACAAGGACGTTTCCCGCCCCACAATAGTCTCTAACGCCTCTGGTAGATGGGGGGGGGGAGCATCTAGATACCGCTGAGCCAGTAGAGGCCGAACTTGCTGGCTGAGTCAAGACTGATGGCACGCACCAGTATCGGTAGGGTATAGAGACTGGTAGAATATCACAGGGGGACGTACAGTAGACCACTGGTCGCGGTGCATGGGGAAACCCCCCCCCCTCCAATAATAATAATAATAATAATAATAATAATGGGCTACTGACAGTATCATTAATTGAATCAAGAATAAAAGAAATAACTTAAGGAATGTATCCTGGACAGGTCAGATAATTATTTATTAACTAACTGATTCTACCATTTTTATTTCATGTATTAGGTCAGAGTGGCAGATTATTCATCACTCGATATCCTTTTGAGGATGTGAACTCGGAGTATATAAATGCCGTGTATGTGGATGGGTTCCGGCTCAAGGATCAGTTTGTGGCTACACAATTTCCACTGACATCAACTGTCGGTGACTTCTGGAGACTTATAGCTGAGAAGAATGTATCTCTCATCGTGGTGCTGAATGAAGTAGAAACGCAAATTAAGGTTTGTTAACATACAAACAAATACAAAATAAGTGACAGAGATCTGAAGGGAACAAATGGTTTTATAAAAGGACCTATTCCTGTGTCTCATGAGCTTGTTACTAACATCAGATAATACTTAAATGGGAAATTGCTTGAATAACCTGTACTGGAATGGGTATACAGTTTTAACCAAACAAATGAAATTCTGAATGATGCATCATATTGTAGCGTGACACACGAAACACGCTATATGTGCAACGATTTTCATTTTGGTGGTCAGGAAAATAGAGCACTATCTGTTTGGAGCCATTGGACAAGAGCTAAGAAATACTAAATATCTCGTGAACATCATCAGAGGAATCACTGGTAATAAGGAATAAGTGATTCCTTTGGGAAAATAGATTTCACTTATTTCCTTATCTACATGCTTACTCAACAGCCCGAAGGCCAATTATAAAGTATGCATGAGAGAGGAGACATACAAAACTCCTGCAATTCAAAGGTTATATGTGTGCCTCTTGGTACTATTCTTTTGAGTAAGGATTATAGTAAGGACACTAGGTTGCACTGTATGTACTTCCTGTGCAGAAAATGAAGATTGGTTGAGTCGTGAGTGTTCGTGATAAACGAAGAACTTGTTCATCATATTAAAAATAAAGTTCATCTTTAAATATCTTCAATTCAGCGCATCTCAACAAAAGCATATACACTGTATGAAAAGAAAACAAAAAATATAATATTGCATATACACACAATAAAAGATGAAACAAGGTGTAATGTATCACTTAGACAATAACCAATAACCAGTTATGATAATAAAAATGAAGTAATATGGAAGCATCTGCTATTTTAAAGAGGTCACTATCACTCTTCTTAAGCGGCCTCCGTAGTCTAGAGGTAACGTTCCCACCTCATGACTCGTGGTACGCGGGTTCAAATACCTGGCAGAGGTCGTCGAATTTTTAAGAGCAAATAATTCAGGGAACAAGTCCTCCGGGAGGGACTTTAAGCTGTGTATCCTGTGTCGTAACTTTACGGCACGTAAAAGAACCTCATATCCCCAAAGGGGATCACTGAGCCAAATTCCAGGACGTTTCCCGCCCAACAATAGTCTCTAAGGCCTCTGATAGATGGGGGAAGCATTATAGACACCGCTAAGCAAGTGACCGAACTCGCTTGCTTGGCAGGACTGATGGTAAGCACCATTTATCGGTAGGGTATAGAGACTGGTAGAATATCATAGAGGGAAGCACAATAGATCAAACTGGTCGGGGTGCATGGGGAAACCCACCCTCTCTAAATAACATAACATAACATAACATCACTCTTCTTTCTTTCGTTTTCATAAGTGAATTTAGTAAACACGGTCTGATACATCCATCTTTTATGGTTATGAGATATAGCGTCTAACTTGGAAAGGAAAATGATAAACGAGAAATTCATGCTATATTTTAGGCATGAATTATTGTAGAAAGTAACAACCTCAAAGATTAAAATGAAAATGATAGGATAATATTAAAACAGATAGTAAAGGAAAGAGGCCATGTTAGGTGGGTCCCTGTCACCATGGCATGGCGCGTCCTCAGGTTGCGGATGGAGGAGACGCCTTCCAGTTTTGGAGGGAAGCTGCGAATATATTGAATAAGCAGTCGTGGACAGCTGACAAGGGATGGCCCTCCAGCTTGGGGGTTGGGGGTGGGGCTAACAACTCCGCACTGTAAAAAATCAATATGTTACGAAAATGAACACAAAGCCTCGGACCTGGACTGATTCCTTGGATAAACGACCTAAGCTAATGAAAATGGATATGAGACTTGGAACTTGGAATGTATGAAGTTTGTATAAGGCAGATTCACTCAGGGCAGTGACAGAATAAATCTTAAAATACAAGTTAGATTTAGTGGGAGTACAGGAGGTCAGATGAGATGGAGGTGGCATCGCACCAGCAGGCGAATATACATTTTTCTACGGACAGGGGAATGAAAATCATGAATTAGGTACAGGTTTTTTCATACATAAGAGAATCGTATCAGCAGTTAAGAGGGTAGACTTCGTTAGTGATAGGATATCATATATAATACTAAAAGGTTGCTGGTGTGATATCATTGTTATGAATGTTCATGCCCCAACAGAAGATAAAATTGATGACATAAAGGATAGATTCTATGAAGAACTAGAACATGTATTTGATAAATTCCCGAAGTACCCCATGAAAATTTTGTTAGGAGATTTCAATGCCAAAGTAGGGAGGGAAGACATTTTCAAACCAACAATTGGGAATGAGAGTTTGCATGAAATTAGTAATGATAATGGAGTTAGAATAGTAAACTTTGCCACATCAAAAAATCTTACTGTGAAAAGTACAATGTTCCCACATCGTAACATCCATAAATTCACTTGGACATCTCCTGATGTGAAGATACACAATCAAATAGACCATATTTTGATATATAGGAGACAGAATCCGATCATTCAGGGCAGCAGATTGTGATACTGACCACTACCTGGTGGTGGCAAAGATTAGGGAAAGACTGGCAGT